AATTAAGTTATGAAATATTAATTATTTTTACATTACATCAATCCATTAAATATTCTTATTGAAGTTTCAGTAACAATTTGAAAGTTTTTCGTACCTTAACTTTTTCAAATTGGACAAAAATATTCTTGAAAAATTACATGTGGGTCACTGATTGACGGCAGCCACTTTAGAGTCTCAGTGTATAATGCAGAAAAAAATGCTTGTGGTAATATTTTGGATTCACTGCAACCTGACCTGGAACTTCTGAGCACCTTTTCATAGTGATATTGGTGCAAAATCAGAGCACAATCCATATAGAAAAGGTCTATTTTTATCAGCCACCAGATTTTTGGGTTACAGAAAGACAGCAAGTGAGGGAGCTTTTATTCTTTGAGTGTATGCTTATGACAACACTTTCCCAGGCTCAGAGAGAGTAGATGGCGGTATACGTGTTGTCCGGGAGGACGGACTGCCTTAAGGTCAGGGAACAAAAGTTTCTTCTGTGCGGAAAACACCACACAATGCAAGAAATGTTGTAACATGTTTTCCTGCAGCCTTGATGGACTCTAGTGTGTATCTCTGTCTATTTCTAGCCACTACTCCACCGGAGAGTTCAGCATATACACACACTCCTACACCTCTGAAGAAAGACATTACTATTGTTGCATTCATATTATGAGATGTAATGAACGTTGCAGCCTCTAGAGGTTTTTAGCTGTGTTTTAGCCTTATATCCTTGTTTAGTTAGAACTGAGTTCCCTGCACTGAAATGTTTTTTATCCCTGTCCCTGTGTCTGCAGAGGTGTCAGTGTCCTTCGACATGGAGTCCTCAGTGACCTACACCTTCCAGGAGCCCTTCTCAGTGATGCAGAACAGAAGCTCGCAGGCCTCCAGTGTTTCTACAGAAAGCAGCAGCAGGGCAAGAGAGGATGTGGCCTTTAGCTTTGTCACCTCCCAGAAGCCGGCCATGCTGCTGACCGTCAGCACCTTCAGCCAGCAGTACATCGCTGTCATCCTGGCCAAGAACGGTACATACAGCTTTTACATGAATACATACATACCAAAGAAAATAGACCTACACAGTAATAACCTACAGCAGTGATATACTGTATGGAATACTTTTTTTAATATTATCACAGACATGGAGAAAACACGCCCACGCAGCCAGCCCAATAAACTTAACATCTTCATTGTTAGCAAATATATCTTCCACCTAGTTACAAAGCAATGTTGCTAAACAGTTACAATAGTACAGTTACATCTGAGTTTTTCCACAGCCATTTAAAACCATTTCAAGTCCTGTCAGATAAAATACTGTACAGTTTACATCATCATCATGGCAACAGAAATGTGGATGGAAACCTGCTCTTTGACATATGAAGCGCTCAGTGTTGCCATCAGGTCTCCAGCCCTCAGTTAAAATGACAGTTATGTGATGTATGATGACTGTGAGGCCAAAGTGTAGTTTTATTTTGAAGGTTTTTTTTTTGATATGATGATAAGAAGTTAAGCTTACATGCTCAATTAATTTACATTGTTCCACTAGGCCTTAAAAGGTCCATTTAGGAGGCTCTATTAGACGAGAGTGATGTTCAGTTAGTTTTAATCTACAACTTCACTGCTATATGCCACTATATTTTACACTCTGGTCCTTATAGATGCTGTCAAATAGGAATAAATAATGTCACTGCAAGGTAACACTCAAATTAATTGGATAGTTTTGGTGACTGTTGTCCTGCATCATCACAAGAGAAAAACACAGTCATGCAATATGCATTTATTCAACTTGAGAAAAAATAGGTGGTGAGCATTATTTAAAACTTCAACTGGATCAAATAATGACAAACAGGTATAAACTGCACATGGGGTTGTGGAGAAGGGCACAAGCTTGACACGCCCTTGTTCTCTGTTGTAACCGCTTTTACCTCACTCAAGGCTGACACAAAGGTGTTACCATGGTTACCAGTTGATCTTGAATAATTACATAGGCTATTGCTTCCTTGAGAGCGGGTCGGTCCTCTTTACATTCGCACCGCAGACAAGATACACCAGAGTTCACTTGGCAACGGACAGAGATCATCCTTTGTAGGCAGAAAAAAATGGAATCCACTTAAAAAAAAATGATTCAATTATGATCCCGTTGCACTCCAGTTACCATCGGAGGTTATTTTTAAACTCCGGCAAAAAGCAATTGCAAGACATGTGCAGATGTGCCTGTCAAACACTGTGCAAAATAGGGAGCGTCTCAGGGAGTCTGGGGCCACTTACATTAACACCTAAGGTGCCCTGAAAAGCTCGAGATCTAATTTTCAGGAAATCTCAACTTTATTTGCATGTTGAAAGGTGTGGAGCAGAAGAGAAAATGAGGCTGACGGTGAACAGGCAGTTAATGTGTGTCGTGCTGGTGCCAAAGCTGCCAGCATGAATGTAATACGGGAGCCGCTGCCTTAACTTTGTGCAAACTGAGAGTAGGCTAATGAATAGATTTAACCTCCTGCTCCTCCTCTGCATCGTCGAAAAGCCTCTTTCTTTATTGATGTTCAGTAAACGTAAGCAGTCCATTTGCAAAAAAGTCCTTGTTTATCCAAAGGATAATGTTAAGAAGACCTTAGACAGCCCTCTTAAACAAAACAATAAAAGGCCCAACCCGGACTTAATTGCTTTACTTTGAGTGTGGAGAAAATTTCAGAAAAAGGTCCTCACATACATAACACTTGCTACAGATTATTTCTTGCTGTCAACTAAGTGTCTCAGCATTTTCAGGTCTTGACACAAGAAAGGCCTCAAAGCTTTAAGCTGACAGCCTTTAAGCTGTCTCCAAACTTGAGAATCATATTGAGTGACACCCATGTGCAGCTGTTAGTCAGAGTCAACGTCCTCACACACTCTTATATGCTAAATCAGAATGCCCATGTTCCCCAGGTCCCTGTAAACACTGAAGGGCAGAGGAGACACTTCATCCACAGTGACCTCCATCTATAGGAGCACTCTTAGGATTTGAAATGAATCACAACACAAAGCCCTTCACCTACAGACCGGGAATTGTAATATTGACCCAGCTCCACTTGACAATGCATATCTTTCTGACTCTATGATCCGACAGCGATTGTGTGTGTGGGAGGAACACTGAGCACATATTGACTTGTTCAGTGTGGGAGCGAAGAGCTATGAGATAGAGATCTCAAAAGGCAATTGAAGAAGTTTAGATGTATCGGGTCTATTTATAAATAAGCAGCCACATCATTTCAGTAAATAGGTGTATTCTTTTCTCCTATTTGGCATTATAAAGCAATGTACGCATACTTGAAGCCTTTTCAAAGTTGCATTGAGCAGTGAACAACAGCAAATCAATCCTCATAAAGTGCTCAGGTGGGGATTTCTAGTCCTGATTAAAGGACCGAGCTACATGTCTTTTCATGCTTTGTGTCCAGGGAGTTTGCAGATCTGGTATCACCTTCAGACAGACAGGAGTCCAGACGTGTTCAGCCCCGCCCTCAATAACCTGGCAGACGGACGACTCCATCGAATCAGAATCCACCGGGTGGGCAAAAACCTCTATGTACAGGTGAGCAGTACATTGTCTTTTGCATTACCTCTAAATAGGTTTTGCATTCCCTCTGATCCACAATTCCAACCTGTGTTCCAACCCTTTACTGCATGTTATCCCCTCTTTCTCTCTCTCTCTCTCCTCACTTTCCTGTCACCCTTAAGCTACTCTGTCAGAAAAAAAAGGTACAAAAATAATTCTATATAGTTTTTATTGTCAAATATACAATACAAGTGCAAGGTATAGTGAAATTTGTCCTCTGCACACATATCCTGAATACTATGAATAGTGGGCAGCCAGTGTACAGTGCCCAGGGACCAGCTCAGGATCTGACCGAGTGCCTTGGTCAAGGGCACTGACTGGAGAAATAAATCTAAAATACATGTTTTTGATGGTGGGGGAAACCAGAGCACCGGGAGGAAACCCACGCAAGCACGTAGACAACATGCAAACTCCACACAAGCTGGGAATTGAACCCAGTACCTTCCTGCTGTGAGGCGACAGTGCTAACCAATGAGCCACCGTGCTGCCCCAGATAGATAGACAACAAGTGGAGCTAGTTAAACTAACTAGTCTCCCAATACTAGACGATTAGAGATCTCCCTGCCTACCAATTGTCTGGGGATTTCTAAATGCAAGGTAGTTGCTTGAACGGCGGTAGGAGTTTTCTTTGGTGACTGAGTCATCTTATAATGCACATGTTGCTTGTACGAGAGTGTTTATCAAATCCGCCTTGGTTGTTGACACTGCGGCTGCATTTGACAAAATCGACCTGGGTCTGATTCAGGACCATATGGGAAGTGCCTAAATCTGATTTTGAAAAAAATCTGATCTGGGCTGGATTTGAGTGTTCACACTACCTCTGGAGAAGTCTGACCTGGTCACTTGACCCTAAAAAAAAAAAAATCAGATTTGGGCCACTTTTGCCTGCAGTCTGAACGGGGTCTAATAGTTTGTGACTATCGCCGTGGGATGATATAGCTTTGGCTTTGATTGTGGCTGTGCTTTGGTTTATAATAGGTGTAACACTAACTACATGCAGGGGTTGTGTGTGTGCAGCAGATTGACTGGTTGTGCCAGCTGGGCGTCGTATTTAAGTTATTGTATTCATGAACTCCTGCGGTGTACTGGTAACACATCTGTCATATCTGATAGAAATCAAAAAATATTGCGAGGGAACGTAAAAGTACTTCAGATTCAAATTCCCTCTGATATCCTTTGTGGGCTCCGTAGAGCAGTGAACACATGAAGTCTCCCATGTGGATATGCAGGAGGCAGCCGCTGTCTCAAATTATGCTGATCTGCAACTGCAGAAGTGAGTTCATTCAGCAGCTACATTTAGAGCCAATGCAGGAAGGAGTGTGTGGTTCATATAGTGCAGTGTAAAACAAAGATAGAGAGGTGTGTTTGCCTTCACCACCGACCTTTCAGGTTCACAATCCTAATCAACATTTTTACCATTTATAGAATAATTTAAACCAGGCTATCTGCACACCGTTGACCACACCCAGCTGTGATGTGTTGATTTTTCTGGTCAACAATGTCAGAATTTCTGACTGTATGTCAGTGTGAAACAGCTTTGACCCTATTTCAAAGTGTAGTGTTGACCAGTTTCAATATTGGTGTTCATACAAAATTAGACTTTGAAAAACCT